AGGACGGACCTGCCCCCCTGCCTCTGCCCCATGTCCAATAAGAAGAGACCCGGCTTGACACCTGCCTATATACAGAGGAGGAGAGCAACATCTTCAGCGCTGGTCTTTGGAGGTGGTGGGGGGGGGAGGGGGAACCAACCCAAAACACAACACAACAGGTCAGAGCCGGAGGCTCGCTGGTACTATAAAACCCCCCCAAGACTATGACTTCCAGTAAAATTGAGATGCCAGGGGAGGTGAAGGCAGATCCTGCAGCTCTGATGGCATCTCTGCATCTGCTGCCTTCTCCCACTCTCAACCTTGAAATCAAATACACCAAGGTAAGTTGTGCTCATTTGTTCTGGCAGGGAAATTCGTGGCTTTCCCTCCAAAGAAGGGATTTTGCTTAAAATCAGTTTCATTCTGCCCTACCCAACTTGAGCGTAGAGATTAAAAAAACTTAGTCCTGAAAGGCTGCCTTGAATCTGTAATAAAGGAAACAGATTTTTGTTCCTGTAATCATCAGAAAAACCACAGGATAATAGAAAAGCAAATTAGATCTGCTGAGATTGGCTTTGCCACTTCTCTTTGAATGTATTTTCTACAGAGCCATTGGTGTTTATTTTCAGTGCAAAATCAGTAGTTCTCAAATACGTTTCAGTTGCTTTTGCTGTACTTTAGAGGAAGTTACTATGCATACCTGTATATCTCAATCAGAAAATAAAAATGTTTTCTTTCTTGAATTACCTTGTGTGCCAAAGGGACTCTTTTACAATTCCTGGAGGACTCTTAATACTACCAGGTTGTTACAGCACTGGAACAGGTCTCTCTACTGACTTCCGTGATTCTTGAATGCACCCTTCAACAGTATTGCAAGAGGGCATATTTTTTTTCCTGCTAACCTTTAAGACTAATTTTCACAGAGAGAGGATTAAGAACAAACTCATTGGGTCAAGGTAGAAAAATCTGTGGGTTTTTATGGTGTGTTATGGGACTAAGTGGTTTGCGTCAATTAAAATGGGCTTTAAGAACAGTCATTTGTAATTGCAATTTCAAATTCATTTATAGATTTTGAATCTTTGCATCCTTAGTATCTTCAGTTAAAGAATGTTTTCCTGTCTGCTGGAGAAGTTTCAAATGCATTGTATACACAGATTACAATGTGTCAGACTTTGTTTCTAATTACTGAGTAACTTCATGGGAAAATAAGCACATCAGCTCTGGAAAAAGGTGATAACATTTTTATCTACTGGAAATACAACTTCAGGAGCTTTAAAGCTGATAGGAAACTCATTTTGGCCGATGCAGTGTAATTTTTTCCTGCATATCATCACTTTAAAATGCTTTTCATCTTTTCTGTTTTTTTTTTTAAGCGGATGCCAAAACTAATTTGTTCTCTAATTTGTTACAGCAATTCCATGTTCCTAAAGAATATTTCACAGGAAAGTCAACTCTTTTAGATTTCATTACATTTTAATGCAAACTGCAATATGCAAATTAAAGGATGCATATGGTTTCTTGCATATTTCTCTGAAAACAGTTTAAATAAGGAATATGGTTATTTGATGTTGTGTGGTGTTACACTTTGGGAACAATCATACTGTGCAAATAGCATTTGGCATGAATTCTGTTTGAATTTTATTGCTGGTTTCAGGGTAAAATATGTTTCAGAGGTGTTCAGTGGATAATACTTGAGAGCAGTATCGGTTTGCATAATAAGGGTACTTACATTTCTCTGTTGTTTAGAGAGCTGGTTCTAAAGATCTTTGAAAAACCGAAGTCATTGGCAATCATATCTTCCTGTCTGTCAGAACATAAACTGGATGGTAACCTTTAATAAATCAGAAAATATAGTGCCATCATCTCAGAAATGTGTAAGATGTTATTCATTTTATACTAGTGGAAGAAGTAAATGAAAGTTATTCTATTTCGGTGATAAGCCAAAACCAACGACAACGTGTTTGCTTCTTCTAAGCTTGGTTTTGAGATATCAGGTAACTTCTGGTTGTTTTTGAGAGAAATTTGGTTTAGGACAGGTATCGAATATTTCACTTGGCACATCCTCTGTTTCTGTCTTTCTGCCTGTTTCTCTCTTCTCTCCTTTTTCTCTGCAGGAAATACAAATGATTTATAGATAATCGGAGTCTTCAGCTTGCAGTCTTGTCTTGGGCAGGACTTTTATCCTGGATCCACTTTCCCACCTATTACAAGGAAAAACAATCAAAAATGAAATAATGGATTGTAACTTGATGCTTTCTGTTGGGGGAGTGGTCACTTCGTGTCTTAAGTGACAAACAACTTCCATAAACAATAAATAACATTAGACTAAAGCACTTTGGAGAAAAACAAACAAACAAACAAAAACCAAAACAAAAAAAAACCCAGAAAACCCCCAACAAACAACAAAAACCCAGCAACCCTAAGCCCTGTAAAATCAGACATCTGTAAGCATTCCTAGCAGTCTCTCTCCTGCTTGTTCGCTGAGAATTTTAAATGCACAGCCAGGACACAGAATTCTTGAACTCTTTATTGCATCTAGCTCTGAATGTAAAACCTGAACCATTTGGGATTTAATTCTTTATGAAAAATAGAGGTACTCGTGGACATTTTAACTAGGTGAAGTAATTTTTAAATACGTTTTGCCAATTAAATTCCATTTCTGGAATTCTAAAACGGTTTTGTTAAGATAGAACGTGTTAAAATTCCAGGAATCCCTACATGAGATTTGTCAAAGATTTGTAATACGTACTAGAAAAAAAGTAAATTTATTATTCGTAAATCTTTAAAATACTACATTGTCCTTGGAATTACTATGCAAGCTCCTTTCAAGAACATAGATAAAACAAATACTACACATGTCATTTTCATGTATATATGATTATTTAGCAGAACTACTGAGACTTGTGAAATATTCCTCTGGTAGGTTTACTGAAGAGAGCAGAAAACTGTGTGTTAACTCCTTCTGCTCTGTGCAGCTGATGTACCACACAGAAGCAATGCAGTTTTTCATTGGTCAGAAAAAATATAGTTAGTGATGCAAATTACATGATGCCATTTTTTTAATGTAAGATGTGCAGCAGTACCTACTGTGACTTCAATACTGGGAGTCAGTCTATGCTGCTTTAAAAAAAGCCAGCCATTAGAAATATTTTTCCCATCTTTTTAATAACTTGGCATGGTCTCTGTGAAATACAAATTGGTTTAGATGTGCATAATAAGAATTGGCGCACAGGATGCGAACCAGACACGAAGCTGAGTGTCCAAGCACACAGGGTTAAGTTTTCCTGTGTAGCTAGCAAGTACTAGAACTGCGGCACGCAACGTTATCTCTCTTTTCATTGTGATGACTCTTTAATTCTCTACTTAACATTAACATTTGGGAAGGATTGCATCTGCAGAACAGGGTGGTGGTGCCCTGTGGTGCAGCAAGCCTTTCTCGGGCTTGCCAGAAGCGTGTTGGCAGTGCTATGCTCCATACATAAGGGAGCACGTAGGTAGGAAGGGGAGCAGCCCTCTCCCTGGCAACAAGTCGTACTTCCTCAAATGTCAGCTCTATGCTAGAAACTCTCCCCGAATGGGCTGCTCCAGAAATATCAGACGTGTGAGTTAAGCCATAGCATGACGTCCAGTAAGGACGCGTCGTTAGCGTGTTTTGTACAGGACGCACGCCTCTTGAGTTGATGGTGCTGAGAACCGAATCACTTCTGAGGGTGACCGGAGGGTTCTCAACTTAGGATTATATTGATGCTTACCTCTTTCCTGCTTTTATAAAGCTCTCTTCTCCCTCCTGAGACTTGATAGTGTATCGTAACAGACATAGAATCAGCCCAGTTGCAGTGTTTTCCACCTGCTATCTCCGTTTGAGGGGCTAAAAGTGTTTCTGCAGGATGTGGCTATCCTTCCTTTGTTACAGTATAATCAGATCTGCTTTACAAAGTATTTTCATAGTGTCTCTAGTAAGTCAGGTTGACTTTAAAAGGCAGCTTGGTATAAAATGAAGACCCTAGAGTTCTGTGCTGTCCTAGGTTAGTAACTACACCATGTAACTGAGTGAACAAACATTCTCAGTTTGCATTATGTTGGGGACATTAATCCAGCCGGATGTTTTAAGTTTTGTTTCTTGCTTGCTAACTGATTTAAGTCTGAGAAAGAGCTGAAGAACTTTAGTGTAAGGAAAAGTTGAAGAATTGCAGTTTTGAGAGGTTTTTATAAAGAGCTGCTCTAAAGGGGTAAAGCTGCAGAGCTGTTGCAGTGGAAAAGTATGGAAATGTTGCCGTAGTAATAGCGTGTGAGTTGGCTGACAACCTTATTTTCTTGTCCTATGTAAAAGGGTTTGCCTCTGCTCTTACACCATACGCTAAAGTCAGATCAGTTTCTAAACACGGACCAGGTCATCTACCCAGCACTGCAACACAAACCTGTTTGTATTAAGTGCAGGCAAACTGCTTCTGGAGAGACAAGAACTAACAAATAGATTTCAAATTCTCATGTGATAAGCATTTGGGTTTGAAGTGTTTTGTTACTAAGTTTCTGTATTTTCATTCCCATTTTGCTTTCTTGGCATTGCCTAGAAATGAATGCTGCAGAGCACTATTACAGATTCTTCGCACCAAAATTTTCAGCATGTGTTTATCAGATAAAATTCTAGACTGACATTAAGATAAGAAGCAGGAAAGTTATTTTATTTACAGTAATGTGCAGAATCTTTGTCATTTTTTGAACTGAAGACAAGCTTTGCCAAAACTTGGGTAAGTGATGAATACATGCTATTTCCCCACCTGTCTTTCCCTGAATAAGCTCACTACTTTAATGAAGTCAGATTCAGTGACTGATACTTGAAAAAAATCAGTTAGCCTTCTGGGTCAGCTCAGCGAGCGCTGTCCAGTTAGAAAAGATGGGGCACAGAAAATTAGAGATGTTTGCTTAAAGAGCAGACAAACAGAACAGGTACATTACCCCTTTGGGGAACACCTCAGTATCTAATGCTGACACTAGATATGTCCCTTTGTAGCATCATATGTGAAGTTTTAGGGTATATACTGTATTTAGTTTTACTGTCTAAATCTACAAGTTTTAGGGTATATACTGTATTTAGTTTTACTGTCTAAATCTACAGTTTGAGTTCTGTTCTAGCGTGTTCATACCTGGTGGTTAGTATTGCAATCCATCAACCCATGTAGCAACTGCAAACTCTGCACTTCTTTCCAATTAACAGCCTGAATGTAGGATTCTTTTTTTCCTCCCAAACCTTTAAGGTCTTCTGCACAAAGCCAGTTTGCCCACGTTTTGCATGAGGGATCAAGAAACAATCGTAGTCCTATGCATATCCAGTCCCCTGCCT